AAAGAAAGGAAAGTTTGTAAGCGTCGGAATGTCGACCTTCCTCACACTTCTATGATAGGAATATTCTGAAGCTCGTCTTTTCCTGAAGTCAATTGTGGGGCCATAATCGCCATTTCCGTGTCATTAGTCATGACTTATTAAGATTTTTTTGGGCAGAGTCGACAGATGCCAGTTGGCAATCATAGTGTGCGGTCTCTTGTTTCCTTTCCATAGAGTGGTACTCATTTACCAATCTGGAAAGGAAGAAAAACGAATGACCAGTTCGGGTCTCGATACCTGGACCTCTAAATGTTGTGAGTCTGGTGCTCTCCACTTTCGCTACGTATGATTTATGCGAGCATTCAGCTCCATGACTTTTAAGGTGGCTCATTGTACGACAATTTTCAAATCATTGAACAAAAATATATCTTATTTTCATGGATGGTAGGGTAAGCATGGAAACTGTGTGTAAACGCTTGTGATCCTCAAGTTAAAAATCAGACTACTTAAAAATACTTACGAATCGTCTCCTCTACTGGTTTCGCATTAGACAAGTAAGTTTGCTCTAGGAGGAAACGATTCAGCTGGTGCTGCTTCGACAGCGCTTCGTTGGCTTTGTCGCTATCGTTGTCCAATCCAGCCGACGGTGAAGTAGATGCGCTGATTTCTTGAATAGCACGACGCCTAGAAAAACTTAGTTGCAAGAACAACGATCAATTCCCGACTCCACGACGACGTACTTCTCCATACACTGTTGTTTCTGGGCTGCTTGAATGACCAGCTTTGTTTTTCTAGTTGCCAGTGGGCATCCTGAGGCACTAAACATTAAAGCTGGGCTAGAAACGTTATAACGTTAGGCAAATTTTAGTCGATTACCTTCTGTGTGATAGATATTTCCCGGTTATATGACCAGACCCATCACATCCCGGCACGGGACACCTGAAATAATAAATTCAATTATTTATACTTCATTGTTCAAGGTTACATTTTGTGTTAATCATCACAATATGATAGTTAACTAATCGAGGCGAAGTGCGATTAGCTACAGCTACAAGAGCCGACCCCATCAGATGGCATAGACTTATACCTCATTTATTCTGACGTGACAACACCAAAATACCATGCTACCCGTATTATTCGCTATTCAACGAATTATTACCGATTTCTCGGTTGATTGTCCGTAAGCAATGTTGATTAAATTCTCTGCTCAAGGGAATGTTGAGGGGAATATATCTTGACTGTGAAGATAAATATCTTCCCTTCGCCGGAATTTCAAATCTAGCCGCTTGGCCACCATGCTACCTCACCCCGTTTTTCAATACTACCGTGGAAGCAGAAGTTTCATCATGGTTACCTATGAGATGTTGCATGTCATTATTACTCGTCAGCACGCCCCCCCCCCCACCTAAGTAAACCGTGCCATTCGATCTTTTCATAAAATGAAGTTCATGGAAAGACCTGCCATCGAGCACCATAATGCCGTCGTTTTAGCTAAAACCTGGCCGACAAAATGCTGGCATCATTAGTATAGTGGGTCACTGATATATTACTAGTAAACGGCTCATTCGCTGAGCTACAAACCAACGTCATTAGTGATCTAAAATACTACGGTGGGTCTGGACCTTTGAAACAGTCCGGATCTGCTACTTGTTGCGTGACCGTTTTCGATGCATCTAGGAGGGTAGCCTGATTCGCAACACTGAAAACTTGGTGGGCATCAAAGTTCATGATTTTGCTTACCCTCGATTAAAAATATTCAGTTTGCAGTTGTGATTTTCGTGATTGATGCTGAGAAGCAAGATTATCGTGTTAACCTTGCCAACCTGTATTTTATAAGTTAACTATCTTTAATCAAAGAAGGTACTTCGTACATAAAATGACAAGGAATTCAAATCGAAACCATTCAGTTGTCGGTGGTGTTTGGTTTGGCACTACTCTGTAACAGCTGTGGACCAAATACAAAAAAAGATACCAGGGGACGTAGGCTTAAAATAAGTTTATTCAGAACGAAACAAAGATGAAAGACCGTCAACGATGATGAGAGAAAGTCGAAAAAAACTTACCACCTGCTGGCAAAATTGAAAAGTTCCCAACCGAGACAGAAACCTAATTGTTCGTTGCCTAGTCAGGTTGCACTGGCTACTCCTTCGCAGTACTTTCCTCATTTCCTGACGCTTCATTCATAAACATTTTTTTCTGATTATTACGTGAGAGCTGCGAGTAACATGCTGTGATCTTAAACTCAGATTTCGTCAGCTGTGACCCCAGTCGAAATAAATATAGCTGAATTTCATGCGATCGCAAACACCCATTCTCCCGTACCTGTCGCAGGGAGCAAGTAACGTTTAGTACAAAAAATAGCTCGGCTGGCAGAATGAGGAACAATGGTGCTTGTTCGCCTTTAGTCGCAATGGTAGTCGTGAATACATGCCGTGTACCCCAAAACGGTCAACCAACCAGGGTCTGTTAGATTATTAAAAAAAATTGTGACTGGTGGTAAAAACCACCCAATGGCTGAGAAGAGTTTGTCTCTGCAAATGAGCTCTCTTCCGCAGAAAAAAATCATAGTTTCAGGTTCACGTTAGAATAACGATGATAATGATAATGATAATGATGATGGTGATGATGCTGATGATGAACTTCATACGCCCCAAGAATTGGAACTCATTGCTGTGCTCCTCTTTTACTCATGTCCATCAACTTCAACCTACTGTTAAGAAACTGAAGCAGACACAGCTACTTTGAAGCCATTACTGATAATGTTCTCTGATATTTATGGTAAATACGAGGTGCTCAGCACATTAAAAAGATTAGTGCCAAATTGTGGAGTTCTGACGTTTACATTAGCATATTCAGGTAGTTTACCGTTACACAGAAATTAAATTTTCTTGGTTCCAAATCATGTAGTAAACCACATGCTTAAACAAATGCATAATTACTCTGAGCTGGATAATGAGGTAAATCTCAATATTTTAACAAACGGTTTACGCGACGCATGCAACACATCCATATTAAGGAGTAAGATCCCAATGGCATGCCAGCCCTCTTCAGTCCAAACTGGCAGAAGCAGGAGAGGCCTTACGGGCCGGTCGAAACTTGGTCTATACACCATCGCGCCATAGTTTTATAACTAATGCAGGAATTCTTTGCATGAGTGTATAGTGTTCATCGCGATGGTCTTTAAGTGAGCTACTGAATATAGATATCCTTCAGCTGTGATCATCATCGGGGTGCCACACAGTGCAAGTCGACGCTTCTGCAATTTTCTAGCACTTTTTGGTGAGTAATTGTTCCTCGGCCCATTCAGGACGCTATCCCTCGTGAACCTTGGCCAATATCTCCGTAACCTTCATATAGCGAAACGGATTCAGACAGTTGGAGGACTAGCTGTCAAACGTCATTGGCGAATGACGGACAGTACCTCCTTAACTTACCATAGCGGGCATCTGCACCTCTTCTAAGATCTCGCTTGAAAGAGACTCACATAGGCATGTTGCATACAATGACTAATATGTTGAATCGCGGACATTCATCTTCGAAAAGCATAATTAACGGCTTGTAAACGCTAGTCGAACAAGTGGTTAAAACTTTTTCGAAGTTTCAGTACCTTTGGAATAGCCTTTCTAATGCACTGAGCGCCGTAAATGCATTCTGATCTATAAAAAAATGACCATCGACGGCTTCAAATAAATTGCCTCCGTTACTTATGATCTGAGTAATAAACCATCAAACCGATAACTAAGCGATGAGTTAAATTCAGGGCTAAAGTCAATGAGTATGAGTACCAAAAGTGCGCTATGGTAAGGCACGATTCTGAATTGGGAAGCATTCAGCCCTAGCTCGAACAAACTGACGATAAGGAAATCTACTTAAATCAGGGTTGATAAGCAGCGCTAAAAGTAAATCAGATACAAGTGAAAAGAATAAGCAGTCGTTACGAATGTTTTGTAATAACCAGACCTCTCCATGTACTGACCCCGAAGGTGGTCTGCGGAGGTATGTGCAATCTAATTGCAAAGCGAAACGAGTTCATAACTCGGTGAACAAACCTGATTGTACAAATACTGCTTTAACGCTTAGTTTCGACTGTCTGAGCGAG